CACAATATTCAGTATTCAAACTAATGCACGCATCACCAATTCATACAGTTCCATATAAAGTAAGCAAATATCCTATGTGCTCGCATCTGTTTCTCAAAAACATTTATCTTATACGGTTAAGGCCTTCTGTAACCCATTTACTTACTCCACTATATCTGGGACTTATTTGTGCCTTTATAGCTGAGTGGAACGCGGCAGAGAGCTTGAAAGTCTGTTGTAGTTTAGGACTCTTTTCAGAGAAGTACACTGAAGTCTAGGACTGCCAGTGAAAAACAGTGTGGGTTGAAAGAATGAGGTTGACATATGCACAGCCCATGAAAACTCACGCTGTGACTGATGAATCCATTTGATCAAGCCTTTTTTTTTTTTTTTTGGGATTCAAACTCGAAAGACATCAAGACCTTTAAATTAAACAAGCTCAAAGTGCTGTGTTAGTCTTAATGGAGTATTAGTATTCATATGGAGGAGTTTGTTCCCCTGAGATCATCTATGAGCTTTTTAGTCTCGATGGCTCATGGGAGGTGCGTTATAGATGGTGTTTAGAGACAAGTGTCTGATGGGTGCTGGGATAATGCCAGAGAGATGCCTATCTCCGCTTTTAATGGAGCGTCTATGGTTGTTTCAAGTGATCAGCCCTGTCACTTCAGACTGCACATTTTGATGCTTTCGACACCTCTCCTTACCGACATCAATCTAAGCGTCAAAAGGAAAAGCAAGAGACAACAAACGCGCACGGCGTGGGTCAGCCAGGGACATGAATACCAGCGCTGGAACAAACACCTCATCAAATGTCTGCCAATACAAGCGGCGTCTTGTGCGCAGGAGAAATGTGATGGGAATTGCATTTATCAGAGCTGCTTTTCTGTCTCCTCTTGATTTAAAAAAGAAGGCAAAAATTGTGTTTGCTTGCATTATGCTGTTATTGTGTCAATTTTCCACACTAGAAACAAAGGACGCCAAATATGCGTGTCATATTTTATTTTAAATTGCCAGACGTTTCTTATATTCACAAAAGACCCTCTTTGCTTTAGCTGCTGTCGGCGGTGACAGCTTGAGTGAAAATTGAGGCCGTTGTTGCCTGGTATCCTATCAGAGAGGCTTTTTCGGAATTGAATCAGAAATGTGCCTCTCGGAGGTTCTCGTTGGCCTTAGATGGAGGCTGAAAAAGAGGAGGACATGAGGAAAAAAGGTGGCAGTGGTGTTTTGTGTGAGCTGGATCTCCTTGTAGAGGTGACACCATTTAGCATATTAAGAGCGTTTAAACAGGTGCGGGTAGACACGCTTCTCAGTAATCAGCTTTTCTGATGTAAGCTCCTGATACATGGATTTTACAGACTTTCCAATGTCAAGGTCCTCTTCCCCTTTATAGCAATGCTGGAATACTGTGCAGTTGTCAGACATATGTACAGGCTGCTCTGTGGGGCATTGCACTTGGTTTGTAAAGGTTAAGGGCTACATTTTTACGAATTTAAAGCTATGGTGTTTTCTTCTTTTACATTTCTAAAATATTATAGATAGATAGATAGATAGATAGATAGATAGATAGATAGATAGATAGATAGATAGATAGATAGATAGATAGATAGATAGATAGATAGATAGATAGATAGATAGATAGATAGATAGATAGATAGAAAGACGGACGGACGGACAGACAGACGGATGAAAGATAGATAGATAGATAGATAGACAGACTGATAGACCGATAGATAGATAGATAGATAGACAGACAGACAGACCGATAGATAGATAGATAGATAGATAGATAGATAGATAGATAGATAGATAGATAGATAGATAGATAGATAGATAGATAGATAGATAGATAGATAGACAGACCGATAGATAGACCGATAGATAGATAGATAGATAGATAGATAGATAGATAAATAGACAGACAGACAGACAGACAGACAGACAGATGGATTGACGCATAGATAGACGGATGGATAGGCAGATAGACATACATGTGATAGATAGATTGATTGATAGATAGATGGATGGATGAATAGATGGATGGATAGACGGATAGATAGATGGATGGACAGACGCAGGGATAGACAGATAGATCGATCGATCCTATCCCAACCAGACAGACTCCTGTAGGACGTCTCAATCGTAATATACTGTACCAACCAGACAGTAAATCACTTTAAACTATTAAAATTGTTAATAAAAGTCACTTTTCAAGGATAAACAATGTTAGAAAAAAGCTTTAGGTCATATAATGTAATTTAAAAGCATAAATAAATGCGGAAAATTAAAAACATGAATCACAAACCACAGAAATATGCTTATAAAGATATATTAACAAAAACTCAAAGAAAAAAAGCAACAAATTTTATTAAAACATTATTCAAATTAAAATAAAAACAAAATAAATAAATAAAAACTGGTTCTAAATAGCATGTTCTCTTCGTATTGGCGTGGCTTTCAAAAGTCCAAAGACATGCGCTATACTGTAGGTGGACTGGGTGAGCTAAATTGCCCTAAGTGTATGTGTGTGAATGGGAGTGTATTGGTGTTTCCCAGTGATGGGTTGCAGCTGGAAGGGCATCTGCTGCATAAAACATATGGTGGATAAATAGGCGGTCCATTCCGCTGTGGCGACCCCTGATTAATAGAGGAAATAAGCCAAATGATGATGAATGAATGAATGAGTGTATGGTTCTAAATACAGCCTATCTAATCTTGTTTATAACATTCATGATTTTAGTTAGGAAAAAAGGCCTGTGCCTAACTCTTCCCCTAAACATAACTTCAGATAGTTGATAGTTGATTTAAATTTCAATCCAAAATGCAAACTGAAAGCAAAATCAATTCAAAATGCAATGAGATTGTGTTGTAATTGTATTACATGAAAGGGTGTACAGCCTTCAAAAGCATATTAAACAAACAGTAATACAATGAACAAATGAATGAATTAACAAACGAATGAAATGAAAATTGTATTAGCACACTTACATCATCATTAAGTCAAGTTTAAAAGAGCACTTGTAGGACTGAGCGTGAGGTGAGTAGCTGATTGACAGCTGCTGGCCAGTTTTTATTTCACCATCTTGACTGCACCAAATCAGCTCAACAGAGAACTAGCCGCTCATTATAAAAGCGCACAAACTTTGTCTCTCGCAGCTGTTTAATGGCTCTTCGCCTGTTTTTGTTTGTTTTTTTGTTTTTTTTGCCGTAAGGTTATTGCACCTTTATGGCTGATTGGGGGGTTGGAATAATCCTCGACATCTGTTCGGGGAGTGGGTGGGGGATGCCGACGTTTGCCTTTTATTTACTGGACCGGGCCTCTCGGCTCATCCCCCCAGCTCTGAGGTCGGCATGTTGACTTTTAATGGGAAAACGATAAAGAAGAAGAATCTCAAATGGGCCTCAAGGTCAATGAAGGAGTTTCGCCCCAAGCTATTGCTCTGGCTTGTAAAACAAACATTACTCATGAGCGCTGCTGTAAATTAGCACCATGCACCAAAGACTGGTTATTTTATTTTCTTAACTGCATGTAGTAACTACTTTTAATTGAGCGTTTAAGTAAGCTATCTTTCTTTTAATTAGCAAAAGTACAACTGTAGTCACTGCAACTCTTTGGCAACAAGAGTAGAGATATTGCGTCTAGTTTCTGCAAAATACCAAGGCAAGTGTGTATTTTTCATTATGGAGAGGTTCTCTTCATCTTGTCCATGGTCATATTCCACATCGTCCCGTCCTTCTCTCTTTCCCTCTGGCCCTGATGACAGAAGGGCAGAACGTTAATCAGAACAGCACTATCTTTTAGACAGCACCTGCAGGCCATTGCCAACTCCAGCGTTGCCTCTTTGGCTATTGCCAGTCTTGGCACCCTGGTACCTCAAGGGATGTCTCTACTGCCAACTTTGACAGGATTAAACCGTGGAGCTACTGCCTATAAATATATATTATTACCTCCTAAGGGCGTTCGAATACCATTGGTTGTCGGGAATCGAGCAGAATTTGGGCTATTATTGATAGGTATGCAGTGTTTAATTAGGTTAGTAAATAAAATCATGTCAACCTCAAATGCAGGGAGAATATTGAAATTGATTGGAGTGTGGTGGATTTACATTATGTAAACTGCTTGGCGTAGTGTTCTAGAAAGTATGCTTATTGATTGACATCTGCTTTTATATCAGTGAACTGCTATTTTGGTGAGATAAGACCATTTGAAGCTGAAAGAATGACTGAGTGATGAGTTTATTGAATCTGCGTGTAGCGTTAGATTAAAAGAGTCAAAAACCCATATGGATTCGATAAACAATTCCTCAGCAGAGATGTCTCTGTCAGCAACACTGTGGCAAGTTTTTACAAATCTTTTCTTATATCCGTTTTTTTAGTTTGATCTTAATTTACCCAGAACAGCGCTTTAAGATCGGGAAATAATTGGACTGCTGTTTGATAACATCATTTGTGTCCCCCCGCATTTCCTGCTGTCTTCGTATGACAAATGCCCTCAGTGTGAAATGAATGGCTGGCTGTCACAGGTAATCATGAGGTTGCTTTTCAGTACCCGGTCTGCTTTCATTTCCCATGATTAGCTTTGTGAAGGAATGATGGGATACGTTTCACTCATCCACTTGTCTCTTTTGTTGGGTGACAGTGATGACTGGGTTAACATCAGTACCAGAAATCGCATCATCTGCTGTCATGCTTGTTGTTCATCCCGAGAAGTGATTTCTCTTTTGTTGCAGCAATCAAAGAGTCACTGTAAGGAGGATTCATGTCATTCACGTCTTCATAGCATAATGTCGTCAGACAATGAGGGAGCAAAATGAGCTAAACGCAATTTCAACAGAGCTGATTCCAATCTTGACATGGTTTTAGACTTTAGTTATTGTATCTGAGATGAAAATATTTGATAAAATCTCTTTATATAAGATTCTGTAAGCTCACTTTTCAATCAATAACAGTTTATTAATATACCATGTTAAAAAGTTGGTATTCCTAACAGTAACACCAACCTTTCTGTCCTCTCTGTTTGACAGGAAATTGCAGCATACTTGATAACCTTTGAAAAGCATGAAGAATGGTTGACAACCTCCCCTAAAACAAGGTAAGAGGATCTATCTCTCAACTATCCATTAGAAATCTATTTTACCCAGAATTCCAGGTTTTATTGCTTTGATGCTCAAATGAAGCCATTAGCTGGCGACACCCGTCAATGACCCACTTGAGAATCTCCGCTATCTTAAAAGTTGGGTGTTTGATATCGGTGGACATTGATGGCAGTTTCGAAAGGTTTACTTCTTTTAGGAGTTAGCCTGACAGGTAATGGATTATTAATGTGAACTAATAACTGCAAATAGCCTATTAGCAGAGCTCTTAGCTCAATGCTCTGCCCTATTTCTTCTGTGAGAGCGATGGTAATGTGTTCATATCTAACAGCAAATTAAACGTCCTCTAATAAATGAAGGTGTGAGCTGCAAACGGTCTAGCTGCTCTGTAGATGGTAGGTGTTGACTGACACTGAAGGGGGAAAAGTGAGCTTGTCATGTCTATGAGTGAGCGTTGCACCTGAATCAATCTGTCATCTCAGTTTATGGCTGCTAGCATGCTCTGGGGTCTAAAGCAGCTCTGGTGAATCTACATGTTCCCAGACCCCACAATAGGAGGATTTGTGTATTTTTAAAATGGAATATCTATACACTCGATTGGCTGTAAGCCAGGCCCGCACTGTTGGATTTTAAGTGTAATGGAGTGGCACTTATCCAGCATCAATGATGCTGCTGATGCGAAAGATTAAGAGTTGAGGTGGGGACAGAGGTTACCATGGCAACCACACCGGACATTTATACTCTTCCAATGAATATTGAGTAACACTATACTTGAAGGGGGTGTTATAAGACCATTGTAATTGTGTCCTGAATTTTTTTCTGATCACTTCTGAGTAATAGTGTAATAACATTATAACATTTAATGACTAATTAAATTTGCAACCCTGTAGTTGAGGTCAAGAAAAATATTAATGATGCTATTAAATAATTCACAAAACAATTATAATAGTCATGTTTATGACAGGTTTATGACGAGTTATATTGTGTTGCTAATGTCAAGTTTTCATGTCAAAGTCAATGATAGGTTATTTTGTATTTGTTTGTCAAGTTGTCATAACAATGACATCTTAAACAATGTCATCTTTTAATTTAAAATGACATAACTGAGCTGATGATATTTTATGACAGTGGTAATTAGCATGGATAAAATATCATTTTGTGTCATGAAATGAGATTTTGCTAAAAATCTAAATCTCATTTTTTTATACATTTTAACTCAATTACGATTATTCATTTATTTATTCATTCATTTTCTTTTCAGCTTACAGTAGTCCCTTTATCAATCTGACGTCTCTAGAGCGGAATGAACCGGCAACTTATCTTTATATTGGTATAAGAAAAATGTTCACATATTACAAGCGAAACATTTTTGAATGTAGGGTGGATTACCTAATTTTAAAATAATAGAAAGAAACACGCACTATCTACTATTTATAATTATTTATTGAACATCAACGCTGAACAACTTAAATTAAAACACATTGCCTAAAACATAGTTCTCCACGCTGCCCACCGTTATTGCCGCTACCAAATCGACCAACTACAAAGCTTGTGCGTTGTGACGCATAGTAAAAATTATTTGAGAGATGTTTGGGTATGCAAAGGCTATGGCAGAAGCATAATAGCGTAATAATATAGTAAATATAAATCATAATATATTAAGTATGCATCAGCCTTGACAGAACGGGGTCACGTGACTCCACATGCGGTAGAGAAAGTAACTGAAAAATATGATAAATTTTTTTGGTTCTGAATGTCGATTTTGAATCATTTTAAATTAATCACCCTGCCCTAGTGCTAGTTCATGATTGTGAATGTTTTAAGACAGCTTTACGAACACTCCCTTCAAGTAAACTGTTACCAAATATATATATATATATATATATATATATATATATATATATATATATATATATATATATATATATATATATAGTTGAAGTCAGAATTATCAGCCCCCTTTTGATTTTTTTTCTTTTTTAAAAGTTTCCCAAATGATGTTTAACAGAGCAAAGAAATTTTGGAATATGTTTTTCAAGAAATATGTCTGATATTTTTTTTTTAATCTTCTGGAGAAAGTATTATTTGTTTTATTTCAGCTAGAATAAAAGCATTTTTTATTTTTTTAAAAACCATTTTAAGGTCAAAATTATTAGCCCTTTTTCCCCAATTATCTACAGAGCAATCCAATCTTATACATTAACTTGCCTAATTACCCTAACCAGCCTAGTTACCTAATTAACCTAGTTAAGCCTTTAAATGTCACTTTAAGCTGTATAGAAGTGTCTAGAAAAATAAGTAGTAAAATATTATTTACTGTCATCATGGCAAAGATAAAATAAATCAGTTATTAGAAATGAGTTATTTAAACTATTATGTTTAGAAATGTGTTGGAAAAAAAATCTTCTCTCCGTTAAACAGAAATTGGGTAAAAAACAAACAGGGGGGGCTAATAATTCAGGGGGGCTAATAATTATGACTATATATATAACAAAGCTCACAACAGACATTTCTATCCAAATCGATTTACAAATAAGGACAATAGAAGTAATCAGAAAGAGCAACAAAAGAGTAATCAAAAGAGTAATCAAAAAGCAACAGAAGAAATACTTAATGTAAATACTAAGTGAATTTGTGTGTGTTGTTGGGTGCGTGTGTTTGTTTTCATTGATAAATATTTATAATATAGAGGATGACAAGCCGTTGATGAATGTTTCCTGCTTCTTGAGAATGATTGACAAGGCTCAAATGACAACGGCTGACAATGAATGCAATCAAAATCAACAAAAGGGCAATAATGCAGAAGTGCTAGGAGAAGTATATTGTACAATATAGAGATGTTTTTTCCCCACTGATTTGTATTTATTTATTTAATTCTGGCCCATTTCCACAGAGAAATCTCACTATTCAATATTCTCTTCACATAGCTATTACACATTAAATGATGTTGATGGTGTAGCACGTTTTAATTGAGAACTGAACAAATGCTATATACCCTGAATCAGGACTCCACATGGAAGCAGTGTAAAAGCTGCCTCCGTCATCAAGAGCAAAACTCGCTCCACACAGACAGTAGATGCAACCAATCATGAAAAGAGATAAGAGAAGCAAGGTTACTTGAAGGTGGTGGAGATTTTGGGGTAAAACTACATTTAATTTATCCTCCAATGCACAATGTCAGGGCTCTTATGGTGTAATATTTTAAGAAGCTTATAGTGTGGGCAAATTGTGTATCAGTGTGCGTACGTGCCAGGGTTTAAGTCCGTGTTTTTCTCCAGTCTGTTTTCCTAGCCTCAGGTTAAGCCCTCCAGTCTCCTGTTCTAGCCAGTTTGTCGAAACAGAACAGTGCTTTCTCCATCTCCCGCCTGCTTCCAGAAGGAAGTCCCACTTCTCTCCCAATTAGAGAGAACCCATCTTATACTATTAGACAGCTCAGAGTCCCTTCTCCTCAGTGCCAGACACTGGAAACTGCTCACTCTCATGTTTTCCTCCAGTCTGCACACAGGAAGTGCCGGGCGCCATCGGCACAGGGGAGAAAAAAAACAAAGCTGACGAGGGATCCCGGCATCTTTCGCGCTTCTTCATACTATATTAAACACAGTGTCTTCTCTCTTACTCTCTCAATTTCCGTCCCACAACCAACTATAGTCAGTAAGATTTATTTAAAGTGGTTCATTCCAAATTATTTTATTTGATGAATCTTTTCATTTGTCTTTCAGTTTTAGTTTGAAATGTATCCACTTTAGGGAGCATTGTTATAAACTATCAGATGGCTGCTGAGTGATGTATGAACACTGCCTTGATTGTGGTATGCAAAATTGGTATTCTGTGGCAACTTTTAGACATGTAAATCATCTCCCGATTCTAAAAAAGCAAGGAAATATCTTATATAAACGGCCCATAAGAATCGTGTCGATCAAAGAGCCCAACTGCAGCATAATTTTACATGGTGTCCTTAAGAAAAATGAGTCAGGCAACAAACTGCTCGATTTTGAAAAGATGTAGTTTTGCACGTCCCTATTAACAATCCTAATTCATGTGCAAATGGACTTTGAGTACTCCAACTTCCACCCAATTTTTCTCTCTGCCTGTAAGGGACATTGATAATGGCTGGACATAAAGCAAAAGCCAATTATAAGACATTTCCTTGTGTAATTGCTAGAGATGAGTTGAAGAGCACCCCGTCGGCTTTTTATCTCCAACACACACAAAAAAAAAATGAGCCCATGAATAAAGTGTACCTCTTCGCACTCGCTCATTACTGGCCCTGTGCTCAGTAATGTGTATTATCACTGGCTAAAAGGAGGTTGGGAGGAGTTCTTGTGAGCACTGTATTCAGTGGAATGTTGTAGCAGTGGTTATAGCACATGCTCAGGGCCTGTTAGATTCAAAATGGTGAAAGGAAAGTCCTTAAAAGAACCTATGAAATCAATTGAGAGTTTTTGTGCTGTGTTTTCTATGATTTGCAACTTTTAGGCCATCTAGTGCACATCTAGATGTTTTTTATTTTATTTTATTTTATTAATGCACTTTTTAAAAGAATGCGGAAAAGGATGAGTCATCTTAAATGCATACTGTAGGTGTTTTCATCTAATAATATTTTCTTTTCAATAAGATTAGTTTTTAAGCTTTAGTACTTTTGGGTATAAGAGTTAATAAGGACACAGCTGTAATTTAAAAATATATACTAGATTTTTTTATATTGGTTTTAAGATTTAAAGCATACAGTACCAAGTATCAAAAGACTAAAATTAATTTGTTGTCTTTTTTGGCATGTTTTCAATAGTAATTTCAATTTTCATGTGAATTTCAATAGTCATGTCAAAGCAGTAAGTAAATCAGCAAACTATCATCTCAAAAATACTGCAAGAATTAGATGCTTTGTTTCCAGAGAGGACTTAGAGAAACTTGTTCATGCTTTTATCAGCAGCAGGATGGATTACTGTAACAGCCTCCTCAAGGGCCTTCCCAAAAACACAGTCAGACAATTATAGCTCAT